CTCCTCCAGGGGCATGTAGAGTACCTTCCAGTACAGTGAACTGTGGTTAGTAGGTGAATAATGTAGTTAGACACCAGCTCAACTTCTCCATATTCAGTGACAGAAGTGTTCCCTCCAGAAACAAGACCTTAACATCAGGTTGTGTGAGCAACCAAGAGCCATGGCAATAGCCTGTGCTATTTGGTGGTTTCCATGGGTCCCTTTGGTGAATGACTCAACAGGCTGTAACCTGTTCCTGGCACCGGAGGTGTCATTTGGTGGCACTAGATATCTAGTTGAAGTCTTCTCTCCCCTGTTGTTTTTTTTTTTTTCTCCCTGTGGATTCCTTTCACATATGTATAGGAAGGTTCCGGGATAGTCAGTGTTCATATAGTTTTTCAAAGGGCCTTTAGTATTGGTTGTCTCTCTCCATTTTCCTTCCTTTACCTTTCTGCCCATCCCCCTTTCATTAAACCATCCAATTCTAGTTTTCCTTAATAGCTACATAACACTATAGACTTTTTCCTTTCCTTGAGAGATACGCTTCTTTCTCCTGGTCCCTTACTAGGTTCCATACCTCTGTGGGTATTCAGATTGAAGTTCCCGTATCATCAGAACCTTAACACCCTTAAAAGAGAAAACATACAATATTTGTCTACATGTACTGAGCACTGTATGCTTTTGTCGCTTGAGTCTGACATGGGCATGCACAGGACACACACATGGTGCACAGCTGCTGAGTACCACTGTGAGCTCATAGCGCATCACTATGCCCCTGTAACTGTGTTGCTAAGGAGGAAGCAGAATTCAGCTCACACTGAACCAAGGATCTGCCCAAGCAGGACGCTTATTTGGTTCAGTGGGGAGTTTTAACTAGATTTTGAACGTTTACTTGTTGGATTTGGGAGGGTGCGGGTGGCTAAAGGGGAAGGCAGGGAGGGGCAGTAGGGCCGGGAGGACCGGGAGGGCTGGGAGGGCCAGGAGGGCCGGGAGGGCCGGAGGGGGGTACGGGGTTGTCAGGAAGGCCAGGAGGGCCAGGAGGTCTGGGACGGCCTGTGGAGCCTTGAGCCTCAACATGCAGGAAGATTTCAGTTATGATGCCCTTACCATTCGGGCCCCTCAGCGAACTCGCTGGTATACCCGCCTGTGGTCTGCATGCCGGGGTTGTGGGTGCTTGTGTCGAAAAAAGCGGCGATTTCCCTTGTACCTTATTGGGTACGATCCTGTGGGACGGTTCCAGAGGGCAGCCGCTGTGGGCGATGTCGCTTTAGTGGAGAGATTGATCAATGCCAGTGAACACCAGGTTAACGAGTGCGACCGGAGGGGCAGGTAATGGGGTCTGAGGAGGGGCGAGGGGCAGGAGGGGCAGAAACTGTTGGGGACAGTCAGGGTCTACCAGGGAGAAACATACCTTCCAGAGCTGCAGCCTGTGGGAGAGCAGATGTCATGCTTAAGGCTCTTCTTTCATGGAGACCTCTGGGTTTGTACCTGCTTTAGGCTCCTAGGCACCTGAAACCTGCACACCTTGGAAGGGCATCTCTGAGACTTTCTTTAAGAGAAGCAAAACAAAGAACTTCAGTTAGTTTACAAATCCCTTTACATTGTCTCTTTTAGAGCACTTTATTGAGGGCTTTACAGGAAGTTAGCTAAAAAAAACCACATACATCTTTTTATGTGTACACTTAAAATTTTTTAGGTTTGAGTGTATTTTCAGTGTACCACACAAGCATAGGAAGAAGGTGTTGGATCTCCTGGAACTGGAGTCATGGACAGTTGTGATTGCTGTGTGGGTGCTAGGAATCCTACCCAGGCCCTCTGCAGGAAAAACTAGAGCTTGTAAATGCCAAGCCATCTCTCCAGCCCTTTAATGTATATGTTTTTAATGCTATGTTATATGCAACACAGAAAATTGTATCATAAGATAAATTTTCACATAAAAAGCCAACTCAAAGCCAAAAAAAAAAACAAAACAAAGAATTATCAAGAAATCTTATGTTCTTATGTCTGTTTTATGCTTGCTGAGGGATTTCATAAGGAAATTTTCAACTTGAACTATAACTCTGTCCCCCGGCCCCTTATATACATGTGTGTGTTTTGGTACATACATGAAGGCTAACAGTTGGCATTCTCTTTGAAAATTTCTTTTCATCTCATTAAAATATCATATGTGTGTTTGCACCTGTGCCTCACACATGCCAAGTAAGTGTGTGAAGGTCCGAAGAGAACTATCGACAGCTGTGTTCTGCCACATTGTGGATTCTGGGGTTGAACATAGGCCATTGGCTCTGCCAGTAGGTGCCCTACCTCATGAACCACCCTGTGGTTCCTCCACCTCAGCTTTTTAGACAGATTCTCTCACCCAAATCCCCGCTGTGTTTGACTGATTGTCTTGGAGTATACTGATTGACCTAGACTTGCTGGCAAGATAGATTTGGGGATCCTCCTGTATCCACATCTCCAGCACCAGTTTCTCAAGGTGCTGGGGGTTCTGAAGTTGGGTCTCAGGCTTGCAGGGTGAGTGATTTCCCAACTGAATTGTAACAATCACTGCGGTCCTCTTTCCTAGTCCTTGTTTCCTGTTTCTCACTAGATTATAGGCAGGAAACAATGACCCTCAACAGTAGGTTCTCCATAGCTCACATGCTTCTTGATCATGTCTGTAGTTGTGAGGTTATTTAGTCTATAGTTATTCAGTCTTCCAAATTAGAGTTTCATACAAATAATAGGACAGTAAATTATTGTTCAAAGTATTTTTGCTTAATAAGTGTATTCTTTAAAAACAGTGAATTTTCCAGCTGTATTTATCCGTTATGCCAATCCACTTATTCCCTGCACGTAACTTAGATATCTATTGTACAGCATACAAATCTACTAGCTTTCAAGACCTTCTCATTCTTAAAATATTACATTTCTCTGTCCAGTGTGTTTTCCTGACGTTCTATAAATTTAAATAGTGAAAACAAGGAATGATGCTCAACTGAATCCCTAGTATTTTTTTGTCTTTAAGCTTTTTGAAAATCAAAGCAAGGGAGCTATGATACCAAGGGTTATCTCCTTCTGGATATATTTGCTCAGTTTTGGTGCTAATTCATGGAGGTATAAGGCAAAGCCATTTGCTACCACCTGGTGTCTATATTAACATGGACATTCTGTCTATTGACTGAGGACTATGCTGTGTCCCTATTGGCAGCAAATATAGAAACATTAATTCTGGGCATTGAGAAATGAAAAAAATTAAAGTATTGATGAATGAAAACTTAGATTTTAGTTTGTTATTGCTATTCTAAATATGTTTACGTTTCATAGTCTTAAGAGCTACATAGATATATGTGACCTTTAGAAGTGTCATGGGCCTGTGGATTGTGTCATATTTTGTTGGATGTAAGGCACAATGGACTGCATGGTGACCTTTTATTTTGTATGGTAGCAAAGTAAAAAACATTGCCTATTATATTCATAAAATATGAATTATAAGTGGCAGACATCAACGATGCTAAAGTGTGAAATAAAAAGTAAGGTGGGTGCGGTGGTACTGCTTGCATTCCTACCTACTGGGAGGATTACCTACCAAGTTCAAGGCCAGCTTAGGGAATATAGTTTTAAAATATTGTAAAGATACTTGAGTAAAAACTTTCACATCTGCAGTAGGTATAATTCTGCTATTTCTCTTCATTGAAATATTGTGTTTGTTACCATTAGGAACAAATTGTAATTGTATCCAGCAAACACTGAGCTGTCAGGTACTGGAAGCATTTGTACATGCTCTTGAAGATGTGAGTTGAAGCGTCACAGCAGCACTGTGTAAGAGAGCTGCAGTGTTGAATCCCCATTCTACAGATGGAGAGATTGATTTGTGGAGCTCATAGGAAGTCTGTGTTGTAACTAGTAACACTCCGTGATTAGAGTAGGATTCAAATCCAATCTGAGTTTAATCTACTGGGCATTCTCCTGTTATCCAGAGAGGCTGCTCTGAGGAAGGGTGAAGCTTGTGATAGAGCACTCGCCTTGAATGGGACAGCCATGCGCTATATGCCTAGCACAGAAAATGAACACCTGAGGAGAGAAATAAGTAAATAAGAAAATTTTAGTTTCTTCTCTTACATCAGAAGGAAATGCACATTGGTGTCTACTTGAGTGTACCTTTACATAATAATCTGTAATTTCCTAAAATGTCCTCTCAATTTGTAGGAGTCCACTTCACTACGCCTCTGCCCATAATCATCCAAATGTAGTAAGATTGCTATCATCCAACGACTGTACCGATATTAATATGAAGGATGATGAAGGCTGCACGCCCCTAATAAAGGTAGCTATCGGGAAACACTTTTGGTATAAAATGGATTAGAAATTATCCATGTTTGGTTTTTGTTGCTGTGATGAAACACTAGCCAAAACCATCCCAGGAAAGGAAAGGTTTATTTGGCTTACAATTCCACATCACAGTCAGCCATGAAGGGAAACCAGGTCAGGAGTTCAATCAGGACCTGAGTCAGGAAATGAAGCAGAGGTCATGGGGGAACGATGCTTTTCCGTGGCTTTTTCCAAGGCTTGCTCAGATTTCCTATACTACTCAGGACAACCTTCCCAGTCATGCCATCACCCCTAGGAAGCTGTGCCCTCCCAGATCAACCTCAATCAAGAAAATACTATACAGGCTTCCCAGAGTCTAGTCTGGTGGAGGCAATTCTTCAAGTGAGGTTCCTTCTTTCCAGGTGTCTTCAACCTGTGTCAAGTTATCAAAACAAGCAAATGAACAAGCTGCCTCCCCCACTACAACAATGGCCAAACAGTGCTAGTGAAATCCTTTAATATCTAGGTGTGGTGGCACACCTCTGAAACTCTACCACTTGGAAAACTTTGGTGGAGAGGTTATGAATTTAGGAAAGTCTGGGTACTTGAGAGGGATAATATGCATGACCTAAACAATTGGTCTGATCCAAGGGTAACTAGTCAATGGAATTGTTGGAATGCTTATTAAAGTTCTTGATTTCAGTGTCTCTTTCTTTATCCAATACCCACAGGCCGCCCAATGGGACAATGTAGAATGCATCTCTATTCTACTCATGCACGGCGCTAATCCCAACATTGTAGATGACAGTGGCTATGCTGCCCTCCACCACGCCATTTGCAGAGGGAACTTAAGAGTTGTCAGCAAACTGCTGGAGTATAATGTAGATATGAAAGCCAAAACAAAGGTAAGAATCATTCAACTTCATTCACAATGTACTTCCAGCAATGACACTCAGATCACTTTCCACATTCTGAAGCACAAGCAGTCTCACTGAATCTGTTCAGAGTAAAGCATTTTTTCCAAATCTGTTTTTCATAGTTTTGTAGGTAACTTAAAGGAACTCAGCACAGCACATTTTGTTTCAGACTTGGGCTTTTCTGTAAAATTCAAGAAGTAAAGGACTTGGGCCCACACATACTTCACATACACACAAACAATAGAAAAAAATAATTTTAAGCTAAATGTCTGTAGAAAAAACAGAAATCTGTTGCAATTAAGAAGTTACTGATGTGACTTGTCCCTCAGAGATGAGGCTAGAGTGGGAAGGTCACAGGCACACAGGTAAATGTGGAAATTTGATCATTGAAGAAAACATACTGAGAAGACATTTTCACTTAACTTTTTCAGATTTTATATGTACATAACAAAGGGGCCAAAATGGGACTCTGTCTTAGACAAGGAGCAATTCCATTGTAATTAATGACCTAAGACTGAATCCAGAACGTTCCCCAGTCAAGTTTAGCCAATTGGGTAAACAGTTCCAAACCTGGCCGTATAGGGCCGGGACCAGAGTTGCAGGATCTGGCTGCTACTGACCACATGTGACAGAAAAATCCCACAATGGATGAAACTGTTACTAATTCTGTCCAATCAACATGCCCCCCATGTAACTGCTCCCTGACTGCTCAATTATTGAAAAGATGTTTAAAAGATTAAAAATTTCCCATGTCCACTTTAGAAGGGCCTGTATGTCTTTGTCCGTGGTCCTCATTATCACTTTATATGGGTGATGGACTGTTGCATGCTGGCTATTTCTGAAGAATAAGCATTCTTTGTGTTTACATAACACTTGAGTCTGAGGTCTTCCTCCAGCATCATTTGGACCACTACAACAGGAAACGATGTTTGGTTTGGGAGAAAATTTTTAGGTTAGGGAAAATAGTTTTGAAAAACAGGTTGAGAAACTGCTCCAGAGATGCCACTTGAGTTCACTCATTCAAGAGAGGCATACCAAATCTATCTCCACGTTTTAGGATTGGGGCAATGGAGGCACATCTCCATGGAGCTAAGAAACTTGGAACCAGCAAGTGTTTGTGGGAAGTTCTGGAAATAGTGGTGTTCACGGGCATTGTTGGACAGGGGAAGATGTTTCAAAGGAAAGGGAAGCCCTGTGTGTGTGAATCTGCAGCAAGGACTGAAGGAAAATCTATCCCTTTGTGACTCATTTTGTTTACAAAAATGTGTGATACATTTTTCATTTGAGAAGCATGTCAATTTATAAAGTGAAATTTTTCCTTTACAGTGTGGGTTGACACCCTATAAACTCGCTTTGTTTGAAAATCAACTTGAAATGGCGCAGTTTTTAATTGATAACGGTGCGGATGCACATTCTGAGCTTACACCATATAGGTACTGTTTCTTTTTTATAATCTTAGTGCTGTTCTTGAGGGTGTCATTGCTTAAGTAATGAACACTAAAATGCTAGAGGGAATATGGCTTCAACTCATAAGCACATATTGAGAAAGACTATCTCACAGGGAGTGTGAGCTGGAAAAGAGACTGTTCCAACATAAACAAAGGAACAGTGTGTACCAGGGCTCAGCTTCCCATTTAAAAACAAGTTGTCATTTCTAATCTGATTTGATTGGCAATTTTCTACTTGTTAAGGCAACTTCACATTAATGTTGTTTACTTTGAAAAGTTTCAACTTTATTTTCAACACTGAAATGTATAGTTTTATTATTCTTAGCCTGTTCCTTATATATTTTCTTCTTATATATGTTCAACTTAATTTTTTTTTCAAATCATGTTGTCTCTTTGATCACTCACTCTACTTTAAGTGAATTTTGAATCAGCAAATAGATTAGGGTATCCATCAATTAGATGATATTACCAGATGCTATTATTTTTTCCCCTCTACTGTCTGAAATATCTTGACACTGTGTTAGTCAGATGTGAATATGTACACCCAAATTTCTGAAACAGCTAATCTGGATAAGGACACTTGTCCAAAATGAGTACAAAGAACTAAGACTCCATTGAGAAAATGCCTCCATAAGATCTGGTTGTAAGGCATTTTCTTAATTAGTGATTGATGGATAAGGGCCCAACACATCATGGGAGGTGCTGTTCCAGGGCTCATGGCCGTGAGTTCTATAAGAAAGAAGAATGAGCAAGCCAGTAAGCAACTCCCTTCCATGGCCTCTGTAAGCTCCTGCCTCCAGCTTCCTTCCCCATTTGAGTTCCTGCCCTGTCTTTCTTTAATGATGGACTATGGTGCAGACATATAAACCAAATGAATCCTTTGGTCCCCAAGTTCATTTTGGTCATGGTGTTTTATCATAGAAATAGCAGCTCTAAATACTTGGTATTTAAGATGAGTTCAGCATTAAAAATCAAATGATTACCTTTTTTGTTCATACATACAAGCTTAAAGTCCGATGAATTAAAAAGTAAAGCCTGTGTGTTGTGTATGTTTTTATTGAAAATACACTTTGGACATACCATATATTCTAAAAATGGTTTAGCATCCTTCATCTTCATGTACTTGTTTTTGTGTCAGAGGACATGCATGCACTGATATTCCCAACCAAGACACAGTACAACACTGTGTGATGGCTTTGTCTTCCATCTTATTTGAGGCATTTTTTAAATTTTTATTTGGCAGTTGGCCACTTACTCCAGGTAAGCAGGCTGGGAAGCCTCTTTGGTATCTTACTACCTCCACTTCCTTTGTACTATAAAAGTGCTGGGATTATAGATACATTACACAGTGACTGACTTTTTGTTGAATTCCAGGTATTCAAATTCTGGGCTAATGTGACAATTAAGTATACCCACTGAGCCATCTATCTGGCTCTAAAACACTCAATTTTTATTTTTTAAAATTTATTTATTTATTTATTAATTAAGGATTTCTGCCTCCTCCCCGCCACCATCTGCCATTTCCCTCCCCTTCCCCAATCAAGTCCCCCTCACTCGTCAGCCCGAAGAGCAACCAGGGTTCCCTGCCCTGTGAGACGTCCAAGGACCACCCACCTCCAGCCAGGTCTAGTAAGGTGAGCATCCAAACTGCCTAGGCTCCCCCAAAGCCAGTACGTGAACAGTCAATTTTTAAAAGAAGAGTTTGAGCCTAAATTAAAGAGGTGGTTATAATTATGGAACTAAGGCTTCTGAGTGCAGAGCACTTTCAATTAAACCTCTAATCCAGTTGGAGGGTCTGTGTTTCCCTCTAAGAAGAACCATTTGAGGTCATTTATTCTTACAGAAATTTGTAAAGCTGGTACTTTTGATGAAAATAAAGTATGCTTATGACTTTGACATGGAATAGCACAGTTTTAGGAATTCATGACTAGGAACATGTCTCAGGAATAAAGTACTTATCACACAAACCCAAGATTTCAGAGTTCAACTCCTCAGAACACAGAAAGGGCCTCATGTGCATGTGTGCATCTTAGCCTCAGGGAACCTTGAGGGACATGGGAGATGGAGACAGGAGACTGTCTGGAAAGTTATACTTTAGACAGTCTTGCTTTTTACAGCTGTTAACAAGAAACTCTGCCTCAAAACTAAGTTAGGAGGCAAGGACTGCCAGTCAAGGATGTCCTCTGACCTAAAAAACATGCACTAGGATCAACAGACACAAATGCATACACAGATGTGAACAAGAACGCATATCAAATATGAAGATGAAAAAGTAAGTTTAGGTTGTTGATCTAATAAGACTGGGGATCATTATCTGCTAAAAAGACATTGGAAATAGTGGTCGAGGTCGAAGGTTTTCTTAGTTTTCTGGAGATCACTTCAGCAGCAGTGCTATTTCGGACAAGGTTCACACCGCAGGTGAAAAGTCCCCTGACGAGCTCCAAGACCATGATGACAGCCAAAGCAGAAACTAGGAAAATAAAGCTGCTGGTCCAGAGTATCCTGGCAATAGGCGCTGAAGTACAGCAGTCTTAGCTGTAGCTGTAACCTGGGAAGAATAAAGCTGACAAAAGAGTGTTGCTTTCCTTGAGTTTTGAAGCTGGTTGTGAGTTACAAAGACTCAGGATTACACAAAAAGGCTTATGAACAAAGAAACAGCCAGGCGGTGGTTTCAGCATTCACACATGGAAGAACTGTTAAAACAATTTGAAGGTGCCACAACTGTCACAGCTTCTGAGAATGCAGGCAGAAGGATGCTTAGAAGCAAAAAAATAAAAATACTTTTTCATATACTGACCATTGAGAGCATAGTACTCAACAAAATACCTCCAAAGAGTTCTGACAGATAGGACTGTGGGGCCTTAGGGACAAGCAGGCAGATGAGTGGAACAGGAACACTGACACCACGAGCATATAAATACAAGGTTACTGGAGCATTCCAAGCAAATCTATGGAAAAAGCACTGCTATCATTCGTGTGTGTGTGCGAGAGAGAGAGAGAGAGAGAGAGAGAGAGAGAGAGTTTTAATCAAGAGCTAAATTTTCTCTGTTTCTTCTCTATGAGGGAAGGTGGGAAGGACAGCAGTCTTTAATCATCACCAACTGTTGAATGAATTTAGAGTTCTTAGGCTGGGCCTTGTTGCCCATGCCTTTAATCCAGAAACTTGGAAAACAGGAGGCACAGAGATCTCTTTGATTTCAAGACCAACATGATACATATAGTGGGATTAAAGTCAGCTGGACTGCATAATGAGATCCTGTTTCAAAAAATTATTTGTAAATATCTAATGTAAGATATATTAGGGACTCAAAAATAAAGAATTTAGAAAACATGCTAAGTGTTTTTATATGAATAGTTAAATGATGTTCACTTTTAAACATATGTCACAGTGGATGAGCAGCTGCAGTAGAATCAGAACAATCAATGAAAACATGTGCCAACTCCAAAAAAGGTAAGAATGACTCCAACTGCTCCTACCTTCCCTAAAGAAAATAAGGAAGAGTGAAGATTTTAGATCCCCAAAAAGGAGTTAAGGCAATCAAAGATAAATGCCGTTCTGTGGTTTTCAAATATTCTGAAAAGTCAGAATTAATTAAGAAATTATTTCAAAGAATTTTCAACTGTGAAAATATATTGTCAAAACATTGCTTATTTTATATTAATGCTAATATCTGTACTGCCGTTGAATAAAGAAGAAATCAACTTTACGCACACGTGTCCTCCATAGTCACATTGCAGCAAATAGGATTATTAGAGATACATATTCTCCTTGAGTTTTATGACAAACTTTGTATTTTGTACTGCATAACAGTCCACAGGTAGGTGTCACTAGAATGTAATTATGTCACAAACCAACCTCAGTAATCAATAACTTTCATTAAATAATTTCCTACCTTATGATATAATTAAAATCTTCTGACCTCTTTAATGTCTGAGCAATTTCTCAGTTTGGACAGTTTTGTCCTACTGTATAATTGTTTTCTTTAGAAATCTCCCATTTTAGGGTGAAAGCTTCGTTCTGTAATGAATGTATTGAGTTTATGAAGACTTATCAATCCTGACATGTTTTCCTTTTCTTTTTCTTTCTTTCTTCCTTCCTTCCTTTCTTCTCTTTTTTCCTTCTTTTTTTGTTTTGTTTTGGTTTTCTAAAGTGCTAGACATGGAGCACAAGGCTTTGGGAGCATTCTAGGCAAGCACCCTACCCATTATCCCTACCTTCAGTACTTTTCTCTTTAGTTTTTCTGAAATAGAACATGGTAAGGGTGAATATCATTTCCATGCTGCAAAGCATGATTCAGGAATAAACATTGGAACAAAAAACAGAGTGTAGAAAATGACATCATTCTGTATTTCAAAGAATTGTCTGCTTCTCCATTGAGTCTGGAGAGACTTTGTGGCAGTGGCAGGAACACCACGTAGTATTTACTTTCAGTAACTGTCACCACAGTGTCTTTTATACCTAAGTTGCCAGTGGCAACCACACTAGGTAGAGAATCCAAAACCCTCTCCCTCAAGAAGTAAGATGAAGAGAGTCAATATTATTGTAATGGAGACAGCTTTGTGTCACTTTATTATGAAGTTTGCTGTTCCTGGCATTTGTGGTGGTGAGAACTGACTGAGGCCTCCTGCATAATAAGCATAGGCTTTCCTACTGTGCCGCAATCCCAGTCCACTAGTTGATGGCTCAAATGACCTTCCTGAGTCATGAGGAATGCTTAAAAGCACATTAAGTTTCTCTGACTTTAATCAAGACAAAAACAATGAATAAAGGTTTCATTTCATTTTTGTTTTCTTATGTTTATTTTCGTTTTGTGAGACAGGGTTTTCCTGTGTGTTGACTTTGAGCCTAACCTGAAACTCATTCTGTAGACCAGGCTAGGCTTGAAATTACAGAGATCTGCATGTCCCTGTTACCAAGGCTGGGATTAAAGGAGTGTACCATCACTGCCCAACTCAAATGTTTATTTCTAAAAGCAAGCTGCAAGTGTCTAGGGAAGGATTGAGTGAGTTTATTGTTTACATTTGTAAGCATGTACAATGATCCTATGTCAGAAGGAAGCCCATGGAATTTGCTGCTGCAGTCTCACGGCTTCTTCTCTGAGGTAGAGCTCGGGGTTATTACTACCAAGGGAGGGATCTTTCCAATAATTCTTTTCAGGGGAGATGATGCCTGCTTTCTTGAGCATCCTTTAAGCTGCATATAAGGCTGGGAACACAGATGGAACTAAGGAATTTCTTTTCTCAACAGGGATGAGGAGAGGAAGCCTGTTGCACACCCTTGAGCTGTTACGTAAAAGTCTTTGCCCCTCTTCTCTTTCTTTCTGTTAGGTTATACCCTGATACAAAAGACAGAAGCCATACATCTAGTCCCAGTGGTAGCAATTTGCACCATAAAATGAACAATTTTAACTAAAAAGCTGAGCAAGATTCTTTGTTTCCCTGAAGAACAAGAATGTGTATAGGCTCATGGATTTTTTTTCCATTTTGAATCTATTGTTTTGTTTGTGAGACACAGTCTCATTTTTACATAGTTCTGGATGTCTTGGGAATCACAGGGATCGACCTCTCTTTGCCACCCATGTGCTGGGATTAAAGTTGTGTGCCACCATCTAGACTCTAGAATTTTTCTCAAGTGTCATTATCCCAAAATCAAACAAGAACCACAGAAGCTATTTTGTGACACAGTCAATTGATGCTTATACTGGTAAGGATGCTGTTCTCCATCTGTCTGAGAGAGATCATTTAGGATCATCTCAATTGTTTATGGGTGGGTGTTTACCTTTAAGTATTATGCTTGTTAAATTTAAGTCTTCTTTGATTTGAAATATAAAGAAAATGAATGAATTCCACCTGAAGACATTTCTTACAAGGAAGTACTTATTCTAGAATAATCTAGATTCATCTAAAAAATTATACTATGTGTCTAATAATTTTATATGTTATATTTTTCTAGCATTGTAATGAATTAATTTTGATTTTTTTCAGAAGAAAATTTCAGCACTGACATAATGCCTTCTTGCAGGTAAGGTCTAATGATATATAAAGACTAAGGAAATTCAAAGATAACAAGCTAACTATTGGTTGTATTCTCAGATAGATGCCGATTTATACACTTTGTCTTGTGTTGTCTTACAATCCCCACAGTATTATCTGTATTTTTAGACTGAAAATTTATTGTTTTTAGATCATGGGCATGAAGTTTATACTCAACCATCATTTCCCCTGTACCAATTCTGTGTTTTGGAAAATGAGCTTCCTAATGTTTACCACACACACTATGTCCATCTGACACTCCTTGCCTTTCAAAAATTGCTGAAATCAGCTAGTGAACTAGATCTTCATCGCATTTGTCTTTCTGATAGCTGACAGAATTTGGGATCATTCTGCATTATCACAGAGTGTTACAAGAAATCAACATCCCCATTGTCTCAGTGTGTGGGTGCACCCCTTGCGGTCCTTAGTTCCTTGCTCATGCTCTCTCTCCTTCTGCTCCTGATTTGGACCTTGAGATTTCTGTTCGGTGCTCCAGTGTGGGTCTCTCTCTCTGTCTCCTTTCATCACCTGATGAAGGTTAATATTCAGGAGGATGCCTATATGTTTTTATTTGAGTTCACCTTCTTATTTAGCTTCTCTAGGATCACAAATTATAGGCTCAATGTCCTTTATTTATGGCTAGAATGTTCTATTGGGAACTCACCAAGGCCAGCTGGCCTGGGTCTGAAAAAGCATGGGATAAAACTGGACTCGCTGAATATAGCGGACAATGAGGACTCAAGAACAGTGGCAATGGGTTTTTGATCCTACTGCACGTTCTGTCTTTGTGGGAGCCTAGGCAGTTTGGATGCTCACCTTACTAAACCTGGATGGAGATGGGTGGTCCTTGGACTTCCCACAGGGCAGGGAACCCTAATTGCTCTTTGGGCTGAAAAGGGAGGGGAACTTGAATGGGGGAGGGGGAGGGAAATGGGAGGCAGTGGCGGGGAGGAGGCAGAAATAAATAAATGAATTAAAAAAGAAATCAACAAATTGTTTGCCCCCTTTGACACCATCTCCACATGCAGAGGCCCTTTTGTTCTGTGTAGGACCCTTTCATAGTTGGTAGAAGATCCCATGCCTTCCTCCTACCACAGTGCTCCATCCATCACTTGTCCATTCCTGTGAGCTGTTTTCTACAGTAATGAAGTCTCTGGATCTCAGTAGATTATCTGGATGTAGAGAGCCAAACTGTGGCATGGTTACTCTTTATGTGTCTATAACAGGGGCTTTGTCTTCCCCATCAGTAGGACATGAACATAGAGTAGAAGGCCCCTTCTGTCAGTGATCTGCTATCTCAGACAGATTTGGCAAAAAATTAAAGGTGGTATATCAAGCTAGTTCTGTGCTCATCTTAATTGATTACTTCCATAATAGAGGACAATTGTGTTATCATTTGTGGGAACATGTATCATAAAACATTTGATACACATTAGTAAATTGCTTATTACTAATGATTTATTAATAAATTACTCCAAGTTAAAAGGTCCAAAATGCATCACAGTTAATGTCCAAAGTGCAGATTCATAATTTACAGTAGCTACAACTGTTCAAAGGCACACCTTGTAAAAACCATGTTCTTTTCTTCTAGGAATTCTAAACTATCTCAAGCTAATAACCTGAAATTATCCACTGAGTTTATATTGTTGTTTGTTCATATTTTTATCTCGTTAAATTAATAGCAATGCTCATTTGGCATAGAAACAGGCCGATTGTGGTTTCAAGATCCACTCATGAATGGACTACTAAGGGGCAGCTTGAGCATATCCTAGGCCATGGTATCTCGTCAGAGTGCTAGCAGAAGCAGGAATCTATTCTATGGTCCACAAACAAACCTTGTGAGAGATAGCATCACGTGCATTGAGAGCCCACAAAGTAACCTGAGAGAGAGGGGTTCTGTGATGCTCTAGGAGCAGATGATGACATGACAAGTGGACTTGGGGTACTAATTACATTGAGCACAAGAGTGACCATTAGTTACTACAGCATTAAAAAAGTGCTGTGGAGAAACTAGTCTCTTTCTTCGTGTGTGTTTCTATGTTTTTAGTGGACTAAATTCTTTTTTTCACATGAGAAAAAGTTTTAAGGAAATTGTCAACAAACCTAATCAACTGATTGAAGGACAATTTAATGGCTGATGGTAAATCTCTAATGTATTATAGGAAAACATTTGGTAAATGTTTTTATACGAATATTAAAATATTACTTTTTAAAATATACCACAGTGCAGTAAGACCAGCAAGACAGCTAAAATCCCTATTGAAGAAGTCTTTCCTGATTAAGAGAGGTAAGAGTGAAGGTGAATACTTGACTGCCCCCTCCCTAATTTCAAGAACAGCTTGGTTTTTTCAAAAATATGAACAGAGGAAATAATATAGCAATGTAATTCTTTCTTCTTTTGATTTGCCTTCAAATGTCCTTTGGATTCAAAATTATTTAAGAAGTAGTTTCTGATAAATTGTCAGTCTCAAACTATATCATCTGAAACGTTTGTTCATTTAATGTCAGCCTCTGATGTACACGGTATCTTTGTATAAATAAAAAGATCTCTAACTAGTCCACACTATGTGTCCTCAATGGTCATGTAACAGCAAGTTGTCTTGTTATAAATGAATTTTTTATTAAAACCACATTGTGTTTATGCTACATATTATTATATACATCAGTGTCAATGTCAATAAGATGATCATGTTAAAAAACCAAAAATACAGTATTCAATTACTTTGTTTTTTGAGGACTAAATGCTAATAAATTTTTCTGGATTTTGCTCCTTTATATAATTTCCCAATTTAGACATATTAGACAATTCACACATGGTATTATGTTTATCTTTAATTATCTGTTATTTAATCTGAATAATCTTGACAAAAATCTTGGCCTAAGAAATAATAGACTTGCTCAACATTTTAAAGAAATGAATGGACTTTGAGTCCGGTAGGCAGTTCAGGGGATAGAACACTGCTGTTATAAACATTCTCTGGTAGGACACGCCCTATTGACTGTACCACCAGCATCTTTTTCCTTTGGTTTTATTAGTTAGTTTAAGATATGATGATACTTGGTTTATATGCTGATAGGCATAATTTTCAGAGCAATTTGCCACAATAGGAGGAAGGCTGAGAAAGTGCATCATTCTACAGTCGACAGCACTGATTGGTCCATTGAGTATATGGTATCTATCTAAAAAATTGTTCATTTCTTTTACATTTTCCAATATTGTGTAGTACAGGTTTTGTAGTATGACCTAATGATTCTCTGAATTTCCTCAATGTCTATTGTTAAGTCCTTCTTTTCATTTCTGATTCTGTTAATTTGGGTGATCTCTCTCCATCTTTTGATTAGTTTATATAACGGTTTGTCAATCTTGTTGATTTTTTTTTTCAAAGAAAGAGCTCTTTGTGTCATTGATTCTTTGTATTCTTTTCTGTGTTTCTGTTTTGTTGATTTCAGCCCTCTGTTTGATTATTTCCTGTCTTCTACTACTTCTGGGTGAGTCTGCTTCTTTTTTTCTAGAGCTTTCAGGTGTGCTGTTATGTCGCTAATGTGAACTTTCTCCATTTTCTTCATGTGGGCACTTACTGCTATGAATTTTCCTCTTAGCACTGCTTTCATAGTGTCCCATAGGTTTGGATATGTTGTGCCTTCATTTTTGTTGAATTCAAGTAAGACTTTTCTTTCTTTATTTCTTTTTCAACACAGGGGTGGTTCAGTAGTTGACTGTTCAGTTTCCATGAGTTTGTAGGCTTTCTGGGAGTAGTATTGTTGTTGAGTTCTAACTTTACTCCATGGTGAGCTGATAAGACACAGGGGTTTACTCCAAATTTTTGTAACTGTGTGGGATTGCTTTGTTACTGATTATGTGATCAATTTTAGAGAAGGTTCCACAAGGTTCTAAGAAGAAGTTATATTCTTCTTTTGGGGGGGGGAGGTTCTATAGATATCTGTTAAGTCCATGTGATTCATTACATCTGTTAGTTCTCTTATTTCTCTCTTAAGTTTCTGTCTAGTTGTTCTATCCATTGGAGAGAGAGGAGTGTTGAAATCTCCTATTAGTGTGTGGGGCTTGATGTATGATTTAAGTTTTAGTATTATTTCTTTTAGTATATGGGTACTCTTATATTTGGTGCATAGATATTCAGATTGATACTTCATCTTGATGAATTGTTCCTGTCATGAGTATAAAGTGTCCTTCTCTATCTCTTCTGATTGATTTTAGTTTGAAATCATTTTTGTTATTTATTAGGGTAGCCACACCTGCTTGTTTCTTAGGTCCATTTGATTGGAAGGCCTTTTCCCAACCCCTTTACTCTGAGGTAGAGTCTGTCTTTGATGTTGAAGTGTGTTTCTTGTAAATAGCACAAGACTGCATTCTGTTTTCATATCCATTCTCTTAGCCTGTGTCTAAGAGTAGATTGATTTAAGCGATATTAATGACCAGTGGTTGTTAACTCTGGTTCTCTTTGAGTAGTGGTGTTTGTGTTTTTCCCTTCTTTGGGTTATGCTGGTAGGGGTTTTCCTGATTTCTGTGATATTGTGGGTGTAGTTAGCTTCATTGGGTTGAAGTTTTCCTACTAGTACTTTCTGTAAGACTGAGTTTTTGTATATGTACTGTTTAAATCTGTTTTTGTCATGGAGTATCTTGCTTTCTCCATAGATGGTGAGTGAAAGCTTTGCTGAGTATAGTAGCCTGGGCTTGCATCCATGGTTTCTTAGTGTCTGCAACACATCTATCCAGGACCTTCTGGCTTTCATGGTTTCCATTGAGAAGTCAGGCATAATTCTGATAGGCTTACCTTTATATGTTACTTGACCATTTTCCTTTGCACCTTTTAAATATTCTTTCATTATTCTGTATGTTCTTTGTTTTGATTATTATATGGCTAGGGGATGCTATTCTTTTGATCCAGTCTATTTGGTGTTCTGTAAGCTTCTTGTATCTTCATAGGGATATCCTTCTTTAGGTTGGGAAAGTTTTCTTCTATAATTTTGTTGAATATGCTTTCTGTGCCTTTGAGCTGGAGTTCTTTTCCTTCTTCTACTCCTATTATTCTTAGTTTTGGCCTTTTCATGGTGGCTCAGATTTCCTGAATGTTTTGCGTTAAGAATTTGTTGGATTTAATGTTATCTTTGACGTATGAAAATTTTCTTTATAGTATGTTCAGCACCTGAGATTCTTTCTTCTATCTCTTATATTCCGTTGGTTATACTTGTCTCTGTAGTTCCTGTTCATTTACCCAGATTTTCCATGTCCACAATTCCCTTGGTTTGTGTTTTCTTTATTACATGTATTTCAGTCTTCAAGTCTTCAACTGTTTCTTTCACTTGTTTGATTGTTTTATCATGGATATTTTTGGGTTTCTTTGAAGGATTTATTAATTTCTTCCAACTTTGTTTGTCTTCTCTTAAATTTCGTTAAGAGGGTTTTTCACTTCCTCTTTAAAGGTATTCATCATTTTCATAAAGTTACATTCAAAGTCGTTTTCTTCTACTTCTGGGTTAGAATGGTCAAGTCTTCCTTTTGTGTGTCTACTGGATTCTCGTGTTACCATGCTATTTTTTTGGGATGTTGGAGGAATTCTTGCATAGGCACCTACCCATCTCTTCCTTCAAATGAGGCCAGCAGTGTCTTGGCATCTTGGTCCAATCATTGCTGTGGCTGTCTCTTTGGTCTCCTCAGATTTGCAGCAAGCTGTATTTCAGAATTCAACGGTGCTTGCAGGCACTTGGGGGCCCTCAGTATTGGAACAATCTGTGTTTTAGGGTTCCACGGAGCTTGCAGGTTAACAGGCACCACCTTGGATTTTCATTGTGGTGAAAGGGGGTTGTTGGAGGTCTCCCACCTGCTAGGCCTCATTGGCAACCCATTTGTTGGTGGGACCAACTCTCCGCTTCAGCCATAGGCAATGCTAAGGAAGTTATATTACAGTTTATATACTGTGAATAAAATAAACAAGAATTTGCTTCATTCCTTTTCATAGAGCGGGCTTTTAGCATGTATTGGGAGCTTGAGGCATTGTCTGTGGGAACTCTGATGTTTCTTGTAAGGTACAACTACCATGGAATTGCTGCTTGGTCCCCACGTTTCTTTCATGCTTCTTGCCCTAGAGATACAGTTCAGGGTGCATAACTACTGCAGGGTGCTTTGCAATAGCTCTTACCATGGAGGTGATAGCTACTGATGCTGAATTTCTTTGCACTGCCCATTCGTGAGGGACCAGAAGCTAGAACTGAGAGGCTTCTGCATCTTCCTCAGAAGCACTTGAGGAGAGTACACACCTTGACCCCTCTCTGGAGCTTTGCCAACCTATCAGCTTGAAATTCTTTGCAGGGTCCTTTGTCCTTGGAATGCTTGTGGGGTTTGTTTGTTTGTTTGTTTTTCATTTTTCTATGCTGCAAAGGGCAGTCACCGTAGACTTTGCTTCCTTGTGTCTGGAATTTTCATCTTCAGTGGAATAAGGTCAACTTAAACCTTAGAGAAACTCTTTTCACTTCCATACAAGATGAGTATGCTCACTTACAATTCTCCTACCACCACTAGTCCAGAGACAAAATCAACAGCAGCAACACTGTGCTACTACTGTAACACTTCAGCTTGTGATACTGATTCTGGTTAAGATGTCTTATAGTGCTTAATATCATAGGTGTTTTGTACACCAATTTATTATAAGTAGTAACTTTTGATAAATTTGTCTCATTTGAAACATACAAAGAAGTCTCAATTAATTGTTATCCATATATTTGTTGTCTATAAATCAATATTCACTTTAAATTTTAGCCTCCTTTGGGGACAAAGCAAATGTAGTAAAAAATATTGGCCTTGGCATTTAATGCTCTTATATTTTACAATTGATTATAACATATTTTGTTTTTCTACTTTATAGCTAGTCGAAGACCAAACGATCAGATCTCACTCAGGTAAGAATGTCTGGATTTTAAAATACATTGAGTATGTAGAGAATATAAAGTTCAGAAGCTGTCATCATGTTTTTTTCTGTGTAAGCCAGTTTCAGCTTCTTGATTAGTGCTAATCAAAGCTGAATATTTATCTATGGAGAAGCATATAGTTTTAAATAACTGATTATTCCTCTGATACAGCATGAAATGCTATAGGACTCCCTGTCTGTGGAGGTGATTCAGCGGATAAAGTGCTGGCTGTGTATATGGGAAAATGGGAGATAGATTCCCAGGGTCTGTATGAGGCCTGTTGGTCTTGTGCACTTTTAAAATTCTGGTGAGCTTATGGTTAGATTGCAGGTGGAGACAGAGCATCCCTGACATTTTCTGGATTGCTTGCCTGAGGTTTGCATTCATGAGTGAGAGACCCAGCTAGTAAACTAATGTTTAAGGTTAGGGTCAACTCCCAAGTCTATATTCCAATCACCGCACCTACACACTGGCATGTATGTACCTTAAATCACACATACATAGAAATACACAGTATATACCATATTTTGCACATATATGTAAAAGGATCCATTTTCAAGTCATTAATCTTTTTCACTAATTTGTTTGGCTGAGTTGTCTGTGGGAAGAGTGTGAAAAATATGGCAAGGTTCAAAACTCTCCAAGGCTTTGCTAAAGATCACCTCAGAATGGCCTTATAGACATGCTTCTGTCCTACAGGTTAATAGCTCCCTTAATGAGTTCCCCAACTATGGTGAATCACAAGGTAGATGAAGTTAGAAAAACAAACTGGTTGGTCCAGAGCTTACCAACCAGAAGCCCTGAAATTTGGAGCTCTTAGCTGTAGTTCAGATGGAGTAGAGCTGAGGGTACTGTATTGCTCTGCAGTGCCCTGTAAATACTCAAGACTTGTGCAGGAAGTAATGGCCGTTGAATATAAAGAGGATCATCATAGATCCAGGTGGTTTGGGTGCATGCTTTTAATCCTAGCACTCAGGAAAGTAGAGGCAGGCGGATCTGTGAGTTCAAGGCAAGCCTGGTTTACAAGAAGCAGTTCCAGGACAGGCTTCAAAACTACAGAGAAACTCTGTCTCAATAAACCAAAAAAAAAAAAAAAAAAAAAAGGATTAAAAGGAAGAAAAAAAAAGAATTTCATCATGTACTTGTGCACAGACTTCCAATAAAGCAGCTTCAAATCACCAAAATATGGTGAATTCTGATATTGTTGGCAGCTTGATGTTTAGATGTTTAGATTTTTAGATGTTTGATGTTTAGATCAAGATGTTGCTCCCAAAGCAATTTCTTGGGAGAGAGTGAGTGACTAAATGTAATGCCTAAAGAGTTTCTTGACAGAAAACAGGACAAGGTGCTGTAGGTTTAGGGGAAGAAATGAAATAGGAGCATTAAGTACTTAGAGCACAAAACAATCAGTTACTGCTACCATCAGAACAAAGTATGTGGCAAAACCGCCATTCCCCTGTCTTGTGTGCTTGGATGTGTGTGTGTGCGTGTGTGTGTGTGTGTGTGTGTGTGTGTGCGTGCGTGTGTGTGTTTCAATCAAAAGCTAAATTTTCTGTGTTTTTCTCCATGAGGAAAGGTGGAAAGGAGAGCAGTCATTAATCATCACCAACTGTTGAAGAATGAATTCAGAATTATTTGGCTGGGCTTCTATCCCATGCCTTTAATCCCAGAATGTGGGAGGCAGGAGGCATAGATCTCTTTGATTTCAAGACAAACATGAAACATATAGTGTATTAAAAGTTAGCTGAAATACATAATGAGATCCTGTTTCAAAAAATGTTTTTGTAAATATGTAATGTAAGATGTGTTAGGGACTCAAAAATAAAGAATTGAGAAACATGCTAAGTGTTTTTATATGGATAGTTAAATGATGATCACTTTCAACATATGTCACAGTGAAGGAACAATAACAAGAGAGCCGGAGCAGAGAAAGGAAAAGTGTGTCACCTTCAACGATGGTAAGAATTACTCCATCTGTCCTACCTTCCCTGAAGAAAATAAGGAAGAGTAAAGATTTTAGATCCCAAAAAAGAGTTAAGGATAACAAGTATAAATCAAGCACTTTCAATTGTGAAGTATTTTTGTCAAAACATTGCTTATTTCACCTTAATGCTGATATCTGTACAGCCATTGAATAAATGAGAAAACATCTTTACACAGCACATGTCCTCCATAGTCACATTGCAGCAAATAGGATTGTCAGAAATACAGATTCTCCTTGAGTTTATGACAAATGCCTTGTATTTTGTACTGCATATCGCTAACACATCTCACTGCCACTAAAATGAAATTATGTCACAAAAAACCTTAATCAATTATTTTCATTAACTAATTTCCTACCTTATGATGTAATTAAATCATCTGAGTTCTTAAATGTCTGTGAAAGTTCTCAGTTTGGAAAGTTTTGGCATACTGTATAATTGTTTTCTTTAGAAATCTCCTACTTTAGGGTGGAAGTGTTTCTTTTATAGTGAATGCATTGATTTTAGGGAGACTTACCAATCCTTATATGTTTTCCTTTTCTTTCTTTTCCTTCTTCCTTTTTCTTGGTCCCTGCCTCCCCTTGTTTCCTCCACCCATCCCTAAATCCCTCCCTCCCTCTCTTCTTTCTTTCTTCCTTTCTTTCTTTCTCTTTCTTTTCTCTGAAGTGCTAGAGGTTGAACATAAGGCTTTGGGAGCATTCTAGGCAAGCACCCTACCCATAATCTCTGCCTTCTGTTTTAGTTAAATAGAACATGGTAAGGGTGTATATCATTTCCATGCTGCATAGCATGATTCAAGAATAAAAACTGAAAGAAAAAGCAAAGTGAAGAAAATGACATCATTCTGTATTTCAAAGAATTATCTGCTTCTCCATTGAGTCTGGAGAGACTTTGTGGCAGTGGCAGGAACACCACGTAGTATTTACTCTCAGTAACTGTCATCATCACAGTGTCTTTTATACCTAAGTTGCCAGCGGCAACCACACTAGGTAGTGCATCCAAAACTCTCTTTCCTCAAGAGGTAAGATGAAGAGAGTCAATATTATTGTAATGGACACAGCTTTGTGTCACTGTATTATGAAGTTTGCTGTTCATGGCATTTGTGGTGGTGAGAACTGACTGAGGCCTCCTGCATAATAAGCATAGGCTTTCCTACTGAGCCGCAATCCCAGTCCACTAGTTGGTGGCTCAAATGGCTGTCCTGCGACATGTGGGAATGCTAAAAAGACACACTAAGTTTCCTTGACTTTAAACAACACAAAAAATAAATAAACATTTCATTTCTTTTTTGGTTGGTTAATGTTTATTTTAGTTTTTTAGAGATAAGGTTTTTCTGTGTGTAGATTAGAGCCTGCCCTTTAATGTATTCTCTACGCAAGCTTGCCTTGAACTCCCATAGAGCCTCCTGCCTCTGTTTCCAAGCACTGGGATTAAAGGTGTGAGCCACCACTGCCAGCCTCCAATGTTTCATTTCTAAAAGCAAACTGCAAGTGAACAGTGAAGGATTGAGTGAGTTTATTGTTTACACATGTGAACTTGTACAATGATCCTATGTCAGAAGGAAGCCCATGGAATTTGCTGCTCCAGTCTCACAGCTGCTTCTCTGATGCTCTTGCACTTGAGGTCGAGCTTGGGGTTATTACTCCCAAGGGAGAGATCTTTCCAGTAATTCATTTCAGGGGAGATGATGCCTGCTATCATGAGCATCCTTTAAGCTGCATATAAGTCTGGGAACACAGATGGAACTAAGGATATTCTTTCCCCAAAGGGGATGAGGAGAGGAAGCTTCATGCCTGCCCTCCCTTGAGCTGTTATGTAAAAGTCTTTGTCCCTCTTCTCTTTCTTTCTGCCAGGTTTCATCCTGATACAAAAGACAGAAGCCATACATATAGTCCCAGTGTTAGGAATTTGCCTGACAAAATGAACAATTTTTACTAAAAGGTTCAACAAGGTTCTTCGTTTCCGTGAAGAACAAAAATGTGTATAGGCCTATGGATTTTTTTTTTCCATTTTCAATTTTGTCAGAGTGCTAGCAGAAGACACAGTTTTATTTTTATGTTTGTGAGACACAGTTTTATTGTTATGTAGTTCTGGCTGTCTTGGGAATCACAGGGTGAGTGTTTGTTTTTAGGTATTATGCTTGATAAGTTTAAGTCTTGTTTGATTTGAAATAAACAAAATAGATTAATTCTACATGAAAAAATTTCCTACAAAAGAGTATTTACTCTAGAATAGTCTAGATTAGTCTCAAAAATGGATACTATGTATCTAATCATTTTATATGTTCTATTTCTCTAGCATTGTAACAAATTCATTTTGATTTTTTTTTTTAGAAATACATTACAATACTGATAAGAAGCCTTTTTGCAGGTAAGGTCTAAGAATAAAGTAATCCTAAGGAAATTCCAAGATAACAAGCCAATTATTAGTTGTATTCTCAGATAGATACTGATTTTTACACTCAATTTTTGCTTTGTCTTACAATCCCCATAGTATTATCAATGTATTTTAGCCAGAAATACTGTTGTTTTTAGATCATGGACATGAAGTGTATACTCAACCATCATTTCCCCTGTACCAATTCTGCGTTTTGGAAAATGAGCCTACTGATGATAACCACACTCACTATGTCCATCTGACACTCCTTGCCTTTTCAATTTTTTTCTGAACTCAGCTAGTGAACTAGATCTTCATCGCATTTGTCTTTCTGAGAGCTGACAGGATTTGGGATCTCTCTGCATTATCACACAGTATTACAAGAAGCCAACAAATTATTTTCTTCCTTTGACACCATCTCCACGTGCAGAGGCCCTTTTCTTCTGCGTAGGACCCTTTTATAGATGGTGGAAGATCCCATGCCTTCCTCCTACCACAGTGCTCCATCCATCACTTTTCCATTCCTGTGAGCTGTTTTCTACAGTAATGAAGTCTCTGGATCTCAGTAGATTATCTGGATATAGAGAGCCAAACTGTGGCATGGTTACTCTTTATGTGTCTATAAAAGGGGCTTTGTCTTCCCCATCAGTAGGACATGAACATAGACTAGAGGCCCCTTCTGTCAGTGATCTGCTATCTCAGACACTGATTTGGCAGAAAATTAAAGGTGGTATGTCGAGCTAGTTCTGTGCTCATCTTAATTGATTACTTTCGTAATAGAGGACAATTGTGTTATCATTTGTGGGAACATGTATCATAAAACATTCGATACACATTAGTAAATTGCTTATTACTAATGATTTATTAATAAATCACTCCAAGTTAAAAGGTCCAAAATGCATCACAGTTAATGTCCAAAGTGCAGATTCATAATTTACAGTAGCTACAACTGTTCAAAGACACACCTCTTAAAAACCATGTTCCTTTCTACTAGGAATTCTAAACTGTCTCAAGCTAATAACCTGAAATTATCCACTGAGTTTATATTGCTGTTTGTTCATATTTTTATCTCGTTAAATTAATAGCAATGCTCATTTGGCATAGATTGTGGTTTCAAGATTCACTCATGAATGGACTACTAAGGGGCAGCTTGAGCATATCCTAGGCCATGGTATCTCGTCAGAGTGCAAGCAGAAGCAGGAATCTATTCTATGGTCCACAAAGAACCTTGTGAGAGATAGCATCACGTGCATTGAGAGCCCACAAAGTAACCTGAGAGAGAGGGGTTCTGTGATGCTCTAGGAGCAGATGATGACATGACAAGTGGAATCGGGGTACTAATTACATTGAGCACAAGAGTGACTATCAGTTACTACAGCATTAAAAAATGTGCTGGAGAAAAACTAGTGTCTTTTTTTTTTAAAATTTTTTTGAGAAAAAAAAAGTTTCTGCCTCCTCCCAGCCTCCCATTTCCCTCCCCCTCCTCCCACTCCTCTCCTCCTCCCCCCACTCTTCTCCCCCTCCCTCTCCAGTCCAAAGAGCAGTCAGGGTTCCCTGCCCTGTGGGAAGTCCAAGGTCCTCCCCCCCCTCTGTCCAGGTCTAGGAAGGTCAACATCCAAACTGGCTAGGCTCCCACAAAGCCAGAACATGAAGTAGGATCAAAACCCCATGCCATTGTCCTTGGCTTCTCATCAGCCCTCATTGTTCGCCATGTTCAGAGAGTCCGGTTTTATCCCATGCTTTTTCAGTCACAGTCCAGCTGGCCTTGGTGAGCTCTTAATAGATCAGCCCCTGTCTCAGTGGGTGGGTGCACCCCTCGTGGTCCTGACTTCCTTGCTCATGTTCTCCCTTCTTCTGCTCCTCATTGGGACCTTGGGAGCTCAGTCCGGTGCTCCAGTGTGGATCTCTGTCTCTATTTCCATCCATCACCAGATGAAGGTTCTATGGTGATATGCAAGACATTCATCAGTATGGCTATAGGATAGGGTCATTTCAGATTCTCTATCCTCAGCTGCCCAAGGAACTAACTGGGGACATCGCCTTGGGCACCTGGGAGCCACTCTAGATTCAAGTCTCTTGCCAGTTCTAAGGTGGCTCCCTTAACTAAGATATGTGCTTCCCTGCTCCCCTATCCAGCCTTCCGTTATCCCAATCATCCCGTTTCCCCAAGTTTTCCCAATCCTCCCCTTCTCACTGTTCTCTCCCCATCTCCCCTTATCCCCATTCCACTCCACCCCCAAAACTAGTGTCTTTGGTGTTCTCTCTCTCTCTTTATCTCTCTCTCTGTCTCTCTGTCTCTCTTTCTCTCTCTATCTCTCTATCTATCTCTGTCTCTCTCCCTCTCTCTCCCTTGTGTGTTTCTATGCTTTTGGTGGACTAATTTCTGTGGACTAAATTCTTTCCTTTCTTTCACATGGGAAAAGCTTTAAAAAGTGTCACCAAACCTAATCAACTGAAGGACAAGTTTTTGCTTGACTGTAAATCTCTAATGTATGTTAGGAAATCAAACAACAAATAATCAAAGCATTCGGTAAATGTTCTTGTATGAATATTAAAATATTACTTTTTAAAATATGCCACAGCGGCGTACGACCATCTGGAGAGCTGAAATCAATACTTAAGAAGTCTCTTCAGATCAGTGGAGGTAAGAGTAATCATGAATACTTGCTGCTACTTCTCTAGTTTCAATAGCAACTTAATTCATTCAAAAAAGGAACAAAGTAAATAAGATATAAACGCAATTTCATTTTTTAAAATTTGCCTCCTAATGTTCTTCACATTCAAAATTACTTAAGAAATGATTTTCTGAGAAATTTCAGTATCAAACTATATTATCTGAACCATGTTTGTTTATTTAACATGAGCCTCTGATGCACACAGTATCTTTGTATAAATATAAGGACCTCTAACTAGTCCACAGTATGTGTCCTCTAGAGTTATGTGACAGCAATTTTGAATTTTTCTTTCATTTTTATAATAAATATATTTATGCTGCATATATTAGTGTCAATAAAAGGTGATCATGTAAAAAACAGAAATACAGTATTCAATTACTTTCATTAAGGATTTTGAGAACTAAATTAACTACATTTTTATGGGTTTTGTTCCTTTCTGTAATTTCTCTACTTAGACATATTAGGAAATTCACATATGGTTTTATGTTTATCTTTAATTATCTGCTATTTAATCTGACTATGTCTTGGCATAAGAAATAATAGGCTTGGTCAACTTTTTAAAATATGGACTTTGAGTCCTGTAGGCAGTGCTGCGGATTGAACATTGCCATTCTAAGCACTCTAGACTAGCGCTCGCCCTAATGGCTATACCGCCAGCACCTTTTTCTTTGGTTTTATTAGTGTAAGATATGGTGATACTTGGTTTATATGCTGATAGACATAATTTCCAGAACAATTTGCCACAGTAGGAGGAAGGCTGAGAAAAGAGTATCATTCTGCAGGGGACAGCACTGACTGGTCCACTGAGTCTGGATAAGATTCTAAGAGTGGGAGGAACACTACAGAATTTGGGCTCTCAGCCGTCACCACAGTGTCTTTCACACCTACCTTGCCTATTGAGAGCACAGCATCAAGTGAATAGGAGTCCGTGGAGTGTAGAGGAATCTGAAAGACTTTATTGAAAAGAGTCAGCATTATTGTAATGTGGGTGACTGTTGTTTACATTATTTCCACACTAAATTTCCTTTGTGGTGACGATGGTTGATGGAGGTCTCCCACATGCCAAGCCTCACTGGCAGTTCATTTGTTGTGGGACTAATGCTCTGCCTGAGCCATAGGCAATGCCAAGGAGGTTATACTGCAGTTCCCATACTGTGAATGAAATAAGCAAATATTTGCTTTATTCCTTTGTAGAGGGCGGGCTGTTAGCATGCAGTAAAAGCTGCTCACTGAAGCTGTGTATGTGTAGACACAAACGTTTCCTGTGAGGTACTACTCCCATGGAATTGCTGCTTGGTCCCCACGTTTCTTCCATCCTTCTCACCCTAGAAATACAGTTCAGGGTGCATAGCTACTGCAGGGGGCTTTCCCATAGCTCTTACCATGGGAGGTGATAGCAGCTAGTGCTGAGCTTCTTTGCACTGCCCATTAGCAAGGGACCAGAAGCTGGAACTGAGGGGCTTCTGCAGCCTCCTCAGAAGCACTTGAGGAGAGTACACACAATGCCCTCTCTCTCTGTGTAGCTTTGCCACCCTGGCATCTGGAAATTCTTTGCCCTTGGTCTACCTGTGTGTCTTAAGTTTTGCTATGCTGCAAGGAGCAGTCCTCGTAGACTTAGCTTCCTTGTGTCTGGAATTTTCATCTTCAACGAAATAAATTCAACTTAATCTTCAGAGAGGCTCTTTTCACTTCCATGCAAGATGAGTATGCTCACTTGCAATTCTCCTAACACCACTAGTCCAGAGACAAATCCAGCAGCAGCAACACTGTGCTACTACTGTAACACTTCAGCTTGTGATATTGATTCTGGTTAAGATGTCAGTTTCTCTGTTTGATAATGCTCATGATCATAGGTGTTTTGTACACCAATTTATTGTTAGTATTGACTTTTGGTAAAATTGTTTCTGTATTTTAAACATACAAAGAAATGTAAATTGAGTTATCCTTGTATTTATTGTCTATATATCAGTATCCACCTTAAAGGCTACACATATTCAAAGTATATGTAGTAACGAAGCATTGGCCTTGGCATTCAATGCTCTTTTTTCTACAGTTGCTTATAACATATTTTGCCTTTCTACTCTGTAGATAATGGAAGAAATCAAGACCAGATCTCACTCGGGTAAGAATGTCTAGCTTTTAAATACAATGAGTATGTAGAGAATATAAAGTTTAGAAGCTGGCACCATGTTTTCCTCTGTGTAAGACAATTTTAGCTTCTTGATTATTTGCTAATGAAAGCTGAATTATGCCTTAGATACAGCGTGCAATGCTGTTAGGACTCCCTGTCTGTGGTGGTGATTCAGCAGATAAAGTGCTGGCTGTGTAAATGGGAGAATGGGAGATGGATGCTTAGGGTCCACATGAGGCCTGTTGGTCTTGTGCACTTCTAAAATCCTGGCAAGCTTTGGTGAGACTGCAGGTGGAGACAGAGCATCCCCTCACATTTTCTGGATGGCTTGCCTGGATTGCTAACCTGGGGCTTGCATTCATGAATGAGATTCACCCATATAACTGAGGGTGAGGGTCAACACCCAAGTCTGTACTCCAATCACCACACCTACACACTGGCACGTATGTATGTGAAATCACACATACTTACATAACATGCCATGTACATATATGTAAAAATATTAGTTTTCAGGCTATTAATCCTGTTTACTAGTATGTTTGGGGCAAGTTGTCTGCTGGGAAGAGTGTGGGCAAAACTCTCCCAGACTTTGCTGAGAAAATCACCTCAGAATGGCCTTATAGACATGCTTCTGTTCAGCAGGTTTATTTCCGTCTTAATGAGTTCCACCTCTGTGGTGAATCCCAAGGAAGTTAGAAAAAGAAAGTGTTTGTTCCAGAGTTTGCCAATCAGAAACCCTGAAATTTGGAACTTTTAGCTGTAGTTCAGATGAAGCAAAGCTGAGGGGACAATGTTGCTCTCCAGTGTCCTATAAAATGACTCAGAAATACCATGAGTATAAAGAGTTCCAACATATGCATGTGGACATACTATCAAAACATTGCTTCAAGGCCCCAAAATATGGTGACTCTTGAGACTGATGGCAACTTAATGCTTAGACATAGAGTACATTTCATGTTTTTCCACAGCAACTCCTTGGGAGAGAGTGCTATGACATGAAATGCCTAATTTTTTTTAACAAAAAAATAGGCTATGGTGTTTTAGGTTTAGGGGAACAAATGAAATAGGAGCATTAAGTGCGCAAAACAATCAGTTACTGCAAGCATCATAACAAGTATGTGCAAAACTCGCCATTTCCCCTTCTTATGTGATTGGATGTGTGTGTGTGTGTGTGTGTGTGTGTGTGTGTGTTGCATGTGTGCATGTGCCTGTGCCTGTTGCATGCTTTGCATATTTCTCTGTGCAGACATGAAGGAAAGAGGAGGATATTGGTGTCTTGCATCATTCACTAACTTATCCACTTGACATAAGATCTCTGACTGACCCTGGAGCTGGTCTGGCAGCCAACAAGCCCAAATGGTAGCCTCTCTTCCACCCACAGTACTGGGTTACATCTGCATGTGTCCATGCCCAGTTTTTTATGTGGATGCTGAGGATTCAAACTCAGGTTGATCTGTGTTGGCAGCAAACATTCTTATTGACTGAGCCATCTCCCAAACCACTGGCTTTTTTAAATTTTCATTTTTAAATAGAACTATGAGTGAGTCTTTAGTGAATGTTACATAGATTGAGACAAGTTGAAACTGCCAAAGCAAAAACTTTTTAAAACGGGGGTCAACATTGAATTACATAAATGCAAAAATGTCACTTAGTGCACAGATAACAAATCTCTTAAGAGAGATGCTCTAAGGACCAAACTCACCCCTCACTGCATGTTTTTATTCTAAAGGCTCTCTGAAAACCCTCATGTTACAACAGAGGACAAGGCCACCAACACTACTAAGGTAAAATTCTCCTTTGTGAAATTTGTTTCCTTATGAATTTTGTTAAAATGCAGCTGTAGTCTACCTATTACAGTTTTATATGGAAATTTGGTCAGAGAAAAGTGTTTGGTATCAGTGAACCATCCTTTCTATAAATTCCAGTGAGCAGTAAGTTCTTGCAGATAGCGGTGGCCCAATAAGAGAATGAACTGGAAACACAGGGAGTGGAAGATTGAGTGCAGTTCTCATATATTAGAAGGTGTGTAGTAATATGAGCGGCAGGGCTGCATCCCCTGCACCCTAGCCACCTGGCTAGCTTATGCCCCGAAATAATAACACACAATTGTATTCTTTTAAACACTGCTTGACCCATTATATCTAGCCTCTTCTCGGCTAACTCTCGCACCTGGACTAGCCCATTTCTTATAATCTGTGTAGCCCACGAGGTGGGTTACCAGGGAGATTCTAGCCTATGTCCATCCTGGGTCGGAGCTTCATCGCATGCAACTGGCCGGGCGAGAGGAGCATGGCTCCTTCCTCTTCCTCCCAGCATTCTGTTCTGTTTACTCCTCCCACCTATGTTTTAACCTATCAGGGCCAAGCAGTTTCTTTATTGCTTAACCAATGAAATCAACAAATTGATATATGACACTCCCACATCAATGGTGCCTGGTGCTTGATCAAGGATGGTTTGCAGAAATAGATACACATTAGACTGATTATAAAAACAACTCTGGTAATTGAATCTGAATACATTTTAAAGGGTCCAGTTATTGTAGTGGTCCAGGCATCACCCAAATGCCTTTTCTCTCAGCATAATGGCAGGTAGGTTTTCTCTTCCTTTGGATATTCCTATTTCAGGATCACAGATAAGAGCATCTCCTCTTTTTGTCTCTTTTCTTCTGTATTTACATTAGCAAGAAATTTAGCTATTTGTAATCTGTTCAACCGAGTTTTCATTATGAAGAGATTACAGTGTGTTTTCTATTTGATTCCACTAGGAGGATATTGACAACTCTTCCTCCAGGTACACAGTAAGTATTTTTCCCCAATTAACCAGCAGTTGTAGATGTGAAGATTCAATTACCATATAGTAGCACTTTGGTTTCTGGATATTTGCTCTGTATTTGACAATAATATACACTCTGATTCTTTGTATCATGTTAACCTATTTAAAATATTTTAGTGTTATGCTTAGCATTTATGTGTTCATAGTAAAATGACCTCATCACTGTGAGCTGCTGGAGGTTAGGAATCCTGTTTGTAACCTGGAGCCTTAGAGTAAGGGTTGTGTGACTCAGAAGTTGAATATTAATGACTTTTGAATGAGACTCAGCAGAAAAATGGGTTTCTATAAAGCAGTTTCACAGATCCTATGATATGGAGGACACTAGTGAGAGTTTATTTATAAGTGAAAAATAATATGAATTTTGCCTCCCAAACATAGAAGAGAAACACTGATGAAAGGGGGGCTATTAAAATTAATAATCATCTCATATAACATTCAGAAATTTTAAAATATAGTGAGTTCAGTTTAGTCTGAATCACAGGGAAAGGCCAAATTTCTTAGTTCATGATTTTCTCAATCTAGCTAGTAAGGAATAAAGTAGCTTTGATATTGTGCACCCCAAATCAAGAGTTCATTTCCTAATCAAACTAGGAAAATTGATCCTCTGTCTTTTCATTGCAGATCATACAGAAACAAATTTTGTATTCCAAGAAGATCGCTGCAATGAAGAAGCGGGACCAAGAAGGTCTTAGCAAATCAGTAATGGACCTAAATAGTCTGGGAGAGGCACTGCCTGAATTCTCTAGAAAGAAATCATGCTTGATGGTAATTCCTATTAATTTAATAAGTAACATATTTGCATGTGAGAAGAATGTTGACTTTATGTTTCTATGTCTGTATAGTTGCAAATCATGTCAGAGAAGACAAAGCCTTGAACATATCTTTCACCTCCATCATACTCTCATTCCTATGAATACCCAGCTAGCCTGTCCCCTTCTAAGACAGTAGTTCTCAATATTCCTTATACTGTGAACATTTAACACATTTTCTCATGTGGTGATCCTAACAGTAAAATGATTTTTGCTGCTCCTTCATAACTGTAATTTTGCTAATGTGATGAATCATAATGTCGATATCTATGTTTCCAGAAGGCCTTAGATGATCTCTGTAAAAAGGTCCTATAATCCCCAAATGGGTTCACAGGTTGAGAATCCCTGTTCTAAGGTTTAAGTGATAGCAAATTAGACTATGGAAACAAAAATCAGAAAGTGAGTAACTTTTATCACAGTTGTGGAGGATTCATGAAATATAGAGAATAAAAAATAAAGACTCCTGGAGTCATAACTGTCAACATGAGTGCACATAACATACATACAATGTTTTAAACTGATTTATTTTATGTGTATAAATATTTTGCATGCATTCTCTCCATTCACCTTGTGTGTGTGCTGCCCACAGACACCCAAGACAGCATTCGATCTCCTGGAATTGGTGTTCCAGATGGTTGTCAGCATATGTGTGGGTGCTGGAATCTAGTCCAGGTCTCTGCAAGAGGAACAAGTGTCATAAACTACCTAGCCATCTTTCCAGTCCCCAGAATGAATACGTTTGATACACAAATAGAGTAGATGATCAGTGGAAATGAGTAGTCAGTCTCAGGATGTTTGCTAACTTCCTAGCCCTAGGCCACTTTGACACATTGAAGTCCAGAGAACACAGAGGCAGCACAAAGAGCAATAGGAGGCTGGGCATGTTGGTGCAGACCTTTAATCCCTGTAATCACGAAGCAGAGGCTGGCTGTTCTCTGTCAGTCCAAGGACACCCTGGTCTCTATTTATTTGAAGGATGGGGGAGGCAAGGAACAAGTGCACCAAGCAGAAGTGTGGAGGTCAAAGGATAATGTATATAGGGGTAAGTTTTCTCATTTTAGGCTCAGGTATCATTTTCAAGTTATCAGTCATGCTGGCAAGTGCCTTCATCCATTTAGCCATCACACTGGCTCTCTGATTTACACTTGGACTGAAATTTTGTAGCACTCACACACACCACCACCACCACCAGCACCACCACCACCAAACAAGAGAAAAAGAGTGACACAGAGAGAAGGGATATCATGTGTTTGAATACACTGTTACCTTTTAGGAGATTGGTTAACCTTTGGGATGGGATATGGTCTGGTTAGCAGAAGGCTGTCTGTGGTGCGTCTTAATGGTTATCACTACTTCTGGAATCAGTTCAGATTTGTCTTCTTCCCTGTCTACCAGCATGTGAGAAGCAATAGACCATTGCCACAGACAAAGCTTCCCTGTTTGCTTTCCCTACTTCAACTGCTGCAGGGAAAGTCAGTCAGTTAGAGCAGGGAAGGCAAACTAGTTCCCTGTAGCCCTGAGCCTTCCTCCCTTGATTAAATAATCTCTGTCAGATATTTTGTCACAGCAACTATAAAAGTAATAGCCTTTTTTGTTTTTTATTTATTTATTTTACTTTTTCTTTTATTCTTTAAGAGATCTTTTTTTTTATTTTACATACCAATTCCAGTTCCCTCCCCCTCCCTTCCGCCTGCTCTCCCAACTGCCCACCGCCCCACTCCCCACTCCCCCACTCCCCATTCATTCCTCATAGAGGATGAGGTCTCCCACGGGGAGTCAACAAAGTCTGTCATATCCCTTGAGGCAGGACTAAGGCCATCCTCCCTGTATCTAGGCTGAGCAAAGTATCCCTCCATTGGGAATGGATTCCAAACAGCCAGTTCACACACTAGGGGTAAATAAATCCTGGACCCACTGCCAGTGGACTAACAAAACTGACCAAACCATATGACTGTCACCCATATTCAGAGGGCCTAGCTTGGTCCTGTGCCAGTTCCCTAGTTGTCAGTCAGGAGCCAGTGAGCTCCCACAACCTTGGGTCAGCTGTTTCTGCAGGGTTTTTTTCTATAATCAACCTCATATTTGATCACAAGCAAATCTCAACAGATAAAGAAAGTGGAAATGACCCCGTGTCTTATTGGATCACCTATGGGATAAAGTTAGAATTCAGCAACACTAATGGCAAAACTCCCACATACTGATGGAAACTGAACAGTTTTCAACAGAATTACCCCTGGATCAAGGAAAAATAAAGGAAGTCTTCCTAGAATTTAATGGAAATGAATGCATGACATACCCAATTCTTTGGGATACTTTGAAAGCAGTACTAACAGGAAAGTTCACAGCACTCAGTGCCTACATAAAGAACCTGGAGAAATCTCACACTAGCATCTTAACAGCACACCTGAAAGCTCTAGAACAAAAAGGAGTCTCACCCAGGAGGAGTAGATACCAGGAAATTATCAATTTGAGGACTAAAATCAATAAAATAGAAACAAAGTAAATGAAACAAAGAGTCAATGGGACAAAGAGATGGGTTTTTGAGAAAATCAGCAAGATAGACAAACCCTTATTCAAACTAATCAAAAGAAAGAGAGACAAAATCCAAATTAACAAAATCAGAAATGAAAAGGGGGACATAACATCAGACACTGAGGAAATCCAGAGAATTATCAGGTCATATTTCAAAAATATGTATTCGAAAAAAGTGGAAAATGTAAAGGAAATGGACAATTTTCTTTTGTGTTTTAAACCTTCAGAAGGTATAAAGCAAGCAGCAGAGCTCGCTCTGTTTGTATCCCCTACTTAACCAATTGCCAGTTTCCATTACAAATGGCTAACAACTAGCTAGTTACCTTGAACCATCTAAATTCAGCATTAGGAGAGACAGGGGCAGACTTGACATAATTATTACACTTAATTAATAAAACCATTAGTAACTGTAATTTTAACATTGTCAGAACCAAACTCAAATGCTCTTTCTTTTAAGCCTAATCCAACTTGGTTTCTAAATTAATATTAGCTATTATGTATGCTCAAAGTGAGTCATTGGTCAAGGGAGGTCTTAGCAGGGAGACAGATCTCAAGTGATTTTAATAAACAGACATTCAGTTGCCAGACATCTTCCAAGATTTCAGTGAAAATCATTAGCATATAAATTGACATGATTAATTTAGACTAATGTCGAAATTTTAGGTTGATACAGAAAGTAAATGGTAATGTGATGAGTGTGGCAACCATGGAGTGTTCCCCTTGGCATGAAGGGACCAACATCTTGGATATGCAAAGGATTAGAATACAAACCACAATATACAAACCACAATATCACTAACAGAAATGAGATCTTAGCATATTCTTGAGTCAAATAAAGTGAAAGGGCAGTTGTTTCTATGCTTCAAAGATGTGACTGAAATAAAAACAGACATCACTTTTACGACATTAGATTTGCATAAAACCATATTAACACACGAGTTTTCCAGAACCCATTGCCTGGTGATTGCAGTGTAACGAGTATGAAATCACCACCTGATCTAGATAATGTTAGTTCCCCATGCTAACAGAATACTAAGCAGAAGTCTTCATGAAGAGCTACAGTCAGACACGCTGATAAATGACACAGGCTTCAAAGGCACAAAGATGATGCTTAGCTTAGGAGAAAGAAAAAGCTCACATCACAATGAGTTTTTCTCCATCTTCATTCTGAACTGATAAAAACCAATCTCTACCTCTATCTCTGTTTTTTCTCCTCTCTCTCTCTCTCTCTCTCTCTCTCTCTCTCTCTCACACACACACACACACACACACACACACACTTCTTTTCATTGAAAAGCTAGAACACACAAAGAGACACACACACATATGCCAGCAGATCAGAGCCCTTACATTGCAATCCTATTGATCTGAGTTCATCCCAGAGAACACAACAAACAAGTGTCTCACATACGTAATCTCAACACCCCTAAATCCTGATTGGAGGCTGAGAGAGTAGAACAGCTCTGAAACCTACACAGCAGCCAGACTGGAACACACAGAGGCACAGAAACATTGAGAGACCCTGTCTCACCCAGTGAAAGCAGAGAGCCGCCTCCTGAAAGTTATCCTCTGCCCTTCACACACACACACACACACACACACACACACACACACACACACACATGCATGCACGTATACACACACGCACTAGCATAGCACAAACAGGCATATTAATTCAAGCACACAAGCAAACACACACTCCAACAGTATTTTTTAGGATGATACAATATTGATTATTCAGATAATAAATGGTGTCTATATATTCATTGGCACTCCTGTTGTGTAACTAACATATAAGGAAAATATTTTCAGGGTCTCTCAGTCATCTTCAGTGTTTCTAATTTCCATGTGACATGTGTCCTGGAAAACTATACTTGTACCATGTGGCCCTTTCATTTCCTTTTTATAACTGGCTTAAGCATATTTAGTTAATGATGAAGCAATGAGTGAAACATATGGCGTGTGAAAATGTATCTAAGGCTCACAAATCTCGAACTTTGATGTGTTCACGCTCATCATTCTCAAGGAAACCAATGAACTGAACATTTTCACATGATGCCCTTGAGCAGTTTGGACACACATGTAGTATGTGTACTTCCTCATCTGTTTTCCTTTACAAACAATGCTTCTCAAGCTATTTTGTTTACCATCTCCACGTTACATTGTTTGATCATGTTGGGTAAGCTCTGGAACGTTTGAATTTTCACAGAAGTAGCACAAATCCTCCTCAAACCTGGTACAGAAAGGTAAACATAGACTGCTAAGTTAGGAGTCTCCCTGAGATGTCATGAATGATTAAGGGCTGGCATCATTATTGGTAATTGGAATAAAAGTTGGGGAGGCTCCCCTTCTGACAAACAGCATCAAATGCATTTTCAAAACTGGCACTTCCTAAATGTATCTGATTAAATAAGGTGGTGTTCTTTGTATCCTATCTAAGAAAACATTATGGAATTGTCTCAACTCTTTTGGCATAATCCACTGCGAAATACCCCTTCATCCCTTCAAATGCATCCTTCAGGCTCTGTCCATGTCATTGGATGATGGTTAGATTATTTTCTATTGCTGTAATAAAACACCATTCCCCAAGCAACATCTAGAAGGAAGGGTTTATTCAGAGTGTGGCACATGGTTCTAATGGGATACATACAATTTTATCACCATCATGATTCAGGCCGGCAGGCATGGTGCTTTAGCAGCAGCTGAGAGTTACATTTAACTCTATACAAGAAACGTAGTGCTCACTAGAAATGGCACCAGTCTTCTGAAACCCAAGACCACACAACTCCTCCAACAAGGCCACACCCCCTATCCTTCCCCCCAAATAGTTCCACTGCCTGGAAACCAACATTCAAATATATGAGCCCATGAGTCTGTTCTCATTCAAGCCATCACAGAGATGCTGGAACAGGCCATCGCATTCATCAGCCGTATATAAAAACAGTCATAGCTAAGGAGTAAGAGTTTGGATGGCATCTCCCAGAACCCTTCCTTCAGCTCCATAGTTTCCATCTGCTGTGGGTAGTGGCACACTTTATTCATTCATTTCAAAAGTCACCCTCACTATTCTGTTATCCCGGGAACCTAATGGGCAATTGTGAAAGCCATGGGGAAAGCAGTAGTGTGGTGCAGAAGAGGGAGGTTCTTTTTGTTTCCAAAGCCCCCGATTGTCACATTCTCTTAATCTGGATGGAATGTAAAATCCTTGTCATAAAGACAGGAGAGGACACATTGTGTCTTTTTTTTCTTATCTTTCCATTATAGAGTGGTAGCAAAGAACAGAAGAAAAGAAGGCATAAAGCTGAGCAGGTCCTCTTTTAAGATTCTCAAACTCTGGGCCTTTGACTAAACCAGAATGGAAGCAAAAGTTTCAGGATACCAGCGATTATAATGATAAAATTAGCCTGAGAAAACAAACATTTGGGGACTCTAAATCAATACCCTGACATTAACAGATAAGCTCTAAAATGAATAAAAATAAGTGAAGTTTTCAATGAAATCTAACATCTCAAAATTTCCTTAAAGGTTGAAACGAAGAAGGGAGGTTTCCTTCCTCCATCCAATATGCATGACATCGTGCCCCAGCCTCCTGCCCATGCCGATGCCACATCAACTTCTCATGTTAGTGAAACAGGTGACAATCGTCAGTCATCTGAGGAAACTACTGTTAACAACACCAGCGTTAGTGAAAGAGGTGACAATCGTCAGTCATCCGAGGAAACTACTGTTAACAACATCAGCATGGATCACACACCTTCTCTAGGTACTTATACTGGGCATGCAAGGGGGAGAACACATGCTGTCCCTGAGCTTGCTCCTGGTAGCTACAGTGGTGACACCATGGACCCTGTGAAACCTTCTGACCCTGTTCTTGATACCTGCATAGAAGATAACACAGTGTCTTAGCTTCACTACTGACCAGGAATCTGCTCTTGTTTGTATCCCAGGTGACGCGTTGGACCCTCAGAATGCTTGTATGCGGGTTCTTGCTTCAAGTCCCACTGAGTGCACCAGCTATGCAGGAAATACTCACTCCAAGTTTTTTTTAATTTGGGCAGCAACCACATCCTTGCTCCTCCTAACATCGCCAGTGTGGTTGCTGCAGTTGGTGACTTTGATGTGGGTATGGAATCTATTTTAGAAATCCTGCACAGTTAAAGTGACAAGGAGCTTAACAAGGTAAGTTAGACCACATTAATGGCTTAAAATAGATAAATATTTCTGTGCGAGAAATCCAATTCTCTTTGGCTCTAATATACATGATGATAAATAAATTTCATACTTTGTATAGGACTCTTTAGATATTATCTAAAACTAGAAAAATGATTTATCTTTTCTAGTCATATTGAAAATGCAGCACATAAAATTAACAAAATCAGTTTAGTCCAACCAAACTGATCAAGTAAAGTTGGTAAGCACACAGCTGCCTCCCATGCTGGAATGAGGAAATGATTTTCACTCTTAATGTGAAACTTGTATTTTCTGAATGGCTAAGCAGGGAAATGTAACTGTTAGATATTAGTTGTTATTTTTCTGTGTCCATACACTGTGACTTATGTGGACAGCATTATTTTGGAAACAAACACCCCAAAAGAAACAACCTCTGAGAATAAAACCAATGAAACAAGACTCCACATTCTTACCATTCTCAAATACAATGATACTCATTGTGACCTGATACTACATAGGATTCTACGGGTGATGCCTCTGTTACTTCTTATCTTGACGATGCTGCCAATGATGTTCTTGATACTACTGATAATTCTTGCTTTTCTTTTTAGTTTCTGCTGAACAACATATGAGGAGCTCCTGTCAACAATGACAATCTGTCAGAAATATTTTTTGAGGTTTTCTTTCATTTTATTGTTTGAAGAATATTTTCAGTTTACTCTGGCATTTTAATGTATGTAATTCAGATCACCCATGTTGCTCATATCTTTCCCATCCCTGTCCTCTGCCTCCATCCCATCCCCTAACTTGTCCTCATCCCATTTTTGTATCATTTATCTTAAGGAGTATGACTTCCAGTAGGATCCCCCACAGCCAACTGCATGTGGACATTATCAGTTGGACTAAGTGAGTTATTAATATAGGGAGGGAGACATAACATCCATCTTTCACCACTTTTGTGGATAAATTACATATAGTGTTTTGTTCCTTGAATTACTGGCCAGGCATTAAAACATTAAATCTTATCTGATTCTACAGACCTTATTATGCTTTCAGAACATGTAAAGCTTGCTAAACTTTCATTCACCTATTTAAACATGTACTGTACATGCATCCCCAGAGAGAGGACACAACTTAAGGGGATACACAATTCAATAGGAATTTGACTTTATCTGGTGGAACATACTGATAAATTCTGAAAGATAAACAAAAATATTTTGCTACTTGGACTTTCTCCCTTAGTCCTTGATCAGAGGCCTCCTAGTTGTGCGGAATTCTAAGAAGATTAAGAAGCTGTAATGGAGAGTTGAAAGGAGCAAAGGGTCAAAAGTATTTCCAAGAGGTCAATAAATTCATTATTCTGCCATCTGATAAAATATTGAAATCAATTTCTGCCTAGAATGAATTTCATGAGATTTCCAGAAAATGAGTAGAGTTGCTCATTTGTAACAAAAGATGACAAATATTAGATGCCGAGTTTGCCACATCTTTATGAATACAAATATAGATATGTATGGGTTCCTTGGCACCCTTCAACATTCAAAAATGAAAAATTCCAGAGAATTGTTGAGGCTAAGAGGCCCAGCTAGGGCTAGAATATAAAAATCAACATGGCACATGTCTGTGGGGGTTTATATATTTATATATGTACAATTAAAATACCTGGTCTTTTAAATGAGCTCAATATTTTCAGAATGCATGATTTTAAAACTGTGCTTTTGAGGAAGCATGTGGAATGTACTGCAGGGGATGAAAGAATACTGAAAAAATATATAAAAAATAAATTATAATTTGTTTCTGGTTCCTTCATATATATATATATGTAATCTAGTTCCTTCTTATTCCACCTCTTTTTTGGTATTCTAAAAAAAAACTATTAACCTGTTGTACATTATTTTGAAAGATTAAAGATATAAGACATCTTTAAAAATGATGTTATTACATTGGCTTTCAAGTGACAATCTGTCAGAAATATTTTATAAAATTTAGAAATTTTCCTCATTTGGACCTTGAGAGCTCAGTCCAGTGCTCCAATGTGGGTCTCTGTCTCTATCTCCATCCATTGCCAGATGAAGGTTCTATGGTGATATGCAAGATATTTATCAGTGTGGCTATAAGATAGGAACAGTTCAAGCGCCCTCTCTTCAACTGCTCAAGGAACAAGCTGGGGACATCTCCTTGGACACCTGGGAACCTCTCTAGATTCCAGTCTCTTGCGAACTCTAAAATGGCTCCCTTAATTAAGATATATACTTCCCTGCTCCCATATCCACTCTTCCTCCATCCCCACCAACCCATTCCCCCAAGCTCTCCCCATCCTTCCCTTCTCACTTCTCTCTCCCCCTCTCCACCTCACCCAACCGCCAAGCTCCCAATTTTTGCCTGGCTATCTTGTCTACTTCCAATATCCAGGAGGATAACTATATGTTTTTCTTTGGGTTCACCTTCCTATTTAGCTTCTCTAGGATCACGAAGTATAGGTTCAATGTCCTTTATTTATGGCTAGAATCCACTAATGAGTGAGTACATACCATATTCATCTTTTTGGGTCTGGGTTACCTCACTTAGGATAGTGTGTTCTATTTCCATCCATTTGCATGCAAAATTCAAGATGTCATTGTTTTTTACCGCTGAGGAGAGAGAACATAAACAAGGAAGTCAGGACCCCGAGGGGTGCACCCCCTCACTGTGACGGTGGGCTGATCTAATGGGAACTCACCAAGTCCAGCTGGACTAGGACTGATGGAGCATGTGATCAAACCAGACTCTCTGGTCTTGGAGGGCTGACTGAGAAGCCAAGGACAATGGCACTGGGTTTTGATTCTAGTGTATGTACTGGCTTTGTGGGAACCTAAGTCTGTTTGGATGCTCACCTTCCTAGACCTGGATGGAGGAGGGAGGACCTTGGACTTCCCACAGGGCAGGGAACCCTGACTGCTCTTTGGACTGGAGATGGAGGAGGAGGGGGAATGAGGGGAGGGGGAAGAAAATGGGAGGAGGTGAAAATTTTTAATAATAATAATAAATAAAATCTGTACTTACTCTCAGAAAAAATTTAGAAATTATGTTAAATATTGTTCTGAAAATTGATACAGTATATATTGAATATTGTATATAAGTTTTTAGTAGCTTTTCATTAAAATGTACTATGAAAATATTTTAAACTGTTTCTCTGTATTGTACAAGCTGATGGCATGACCTCTTGGTGTCATGTTTAAGGAGAAAGCTTCTATTATAGCTATCAGAGATAGAACAGACAGTGGCATATCAAATCGCCCAGAGCAGAAATAGATGTTGGCTGAACATAGTCAACTGCACCTGCCTATGATAGAAGCAGAAGCAGAGCAGAGAGGCAGATGGAGAGAGACAGAAGAGGAGACACAGAGAGAGGGAGAGGAACATAGAGACAGGGGGAGACAGAGAGATAGGTTTAGAAAGAGAATGAGAAGCTGGGAGAGGGATGCTTCTGAACTAGAGGGAGTTTAGGGTAGGGAGCAGGGTCGAAGACCTAGAACATGAGCATGGACTCTGACATGTCCAGTGGGTACTGGTGCTACTGAAGGACCTGGAGGCTAGTCTGTACCTTGTTATAGTAATAGATAATGACCACAGAGAGTCAACTTTTCCTACTGCCAGTGAGAAGAGAAATGACCCCTTTGAGAAGAGGAAGTAGCTTCACAAGTTTTTAAGGAATGTTGGATTTACCTACCCTCCAGAAATCCTCCAAAAGTCCAGGCTGAGCCCATTTCTTGGTATCTGGACCTGCAATTGCAGTTTTGGAAACTGGAGTTCAATGAATTTTAGTGGATTTTCCAAGGCACAAACCAGTCATGTTGAGGTTTCCATTCTCACGCTGCTCTCACATGAGTAAAAACACCACCTGAACTACTCTATTGGCCTTAACATCCATAGATTTTAAACTGTGGCTGCTTACCTTCATTCCCTCTTTACTTTTTATGACATTCCATCACCAGCACATGTTAAGTGAGCAAAGTCCCTCACTGAGGGTGGGGCCTTATGAGCCCCTCCTGTGTATGATTATCATTGTGTCCTGGACACCATTTCACAGGAACAATCTTCAACCTCTGCCTCTCTCTTCCAAAGTGATCCCTGAGTCTTGCAGTGTGTTGTGGTTCAGGTGTCCTGCTGAGGTCTGAGAACTGCACAGTTATGTATTCTCTAAACTTTGGCCAGGTGTGAGTCTGTGCAGTCAGCAGAGTCCACTTCCTAAAGAAGCCTCTCTCATTAGGGATCACAGTTGCTCAAATGTATAGGTGTCAGGGAGAGTACATAGAAGGCAGCTTGATGCCATGTAATTTTAACAAAACAACAACAGAGGGCCTATTGTGTGGATTCACCACATCAGTGATTAACTCAGAGTCACCAATACTGCATCAGCATGGCAGTAAGGAAATAAAAGCACTTCCACTGGGAGTCATTTCCAGGTTTGAATTTTCTCCATGTTTCCTGTCTTCCCTCCAAATCTGCACCTTTCTGAAGAAGTCTGCCTTTCCTTTTGTCTGGTTTTGTGTGTGTGTGTGTATGTGTGTCTGATTCTGTGTCTGTCCCTATGTCTGTCTGTCCCTACATGTGTCCCTATGTGTGAATTTGTGTGTCTTCCCTTTTCTTGCTCTCTTTTATTGAATTTCCCCATAAGAATCACATGGGGAAGGAGTGGGATCCTTTACAGAAATCATTCATGGAGTCTTACAAGGGATTAAGGTAATGAGCACAACTGAACACAACTCATCCAGACAGGAAAAAAATTACAAATACCATGATTGCCCAGTAATGCTGGCTGTGCCCAACTGTTTTGGTGGATACTCATTTAGAAGTGTTTTCAACCTCTATGTTTGCTCTTTTATACAAATGATATACTTGAATTGTTCTGGATCAGGGGCACAGAAGAAGACATAATTTAACATTACAATTAAGTATTAGTTTAATTTGTAAAAGGTGGCTATTATGAAGACCAAGGAAAGTGTTGGTAATTGTTACATTTTTCTCTTAAAAGTTGGCTAAACAATTTGAGTACACAGTAGGAGAGCAGCCTTATGTCTTAAGTGACCTCAATGTGTGTTATGAACTCTGGCTGTGATGTCAAGCAAATGCTCCAGTCTCTAGAATAAGACATATTTCCATATTACATCACCATGGCCTCAGTCATTGGGCTCTTAACCAAGTTTACAGAACCAGCCAAGAGTTCCCCACTATGTGGTAGATCTAAAATCAAATCACAAGTTTAATTGTTCCTATAAGAGTCAACACACAGAGAATATCTTGCCAGGCAAGTTGTCACACGCAGGGTCTACAGATGGGTAGAATCATTGTCAACTTCTCTCATCCAGTAGCTTGCATAGAAGTTCTAGTACTGTGAAAGCTAGCCAGCATGGACACAACATGGCTTCTAAATGTCCTATATCCAAGGGTGTAGTGTGTTCAGAAGAGTCCTACAATCTAATTCTCATGTGTAAATGCAGACATTGGCAAGAGCTGGTAATGTTTGACAGAAGCCCCCCTTACTTCACAGCTCAGAGGGAACTATGCCATAGTATTGGGGTCTTTGTTTAGTCAACTTAATCTTCTTGAAGGAACGTTATCCATGCATGCAGGGCTCCTTCATTCAGATGTTTTACTTAGGCTTCCAAGGATGCAACTTCATTCATTAGGCTTGGTGGCAAACCACGGTCCATGTATGGAGGTCAGGGGATCATTTTCTGGGTCATTTTCTTACCTTTTTCTATGTGGTTTCCCAACATCAAACTTAACATTATATGGTTGGCATCAAGAACCTTAACATGCTAAATGTAAACAACTTAAAATGTAATATTTGTCCAAAAGGATTTTTTCCTCCATGCATACTTTTGGTTACCCCTTTCCCCAACACCACACTTCTTCCATCCCTGGTTAAACCTTTCCACTTGGAAGATTCCCTCACCCTATCCACAGTGCATTTCTTCTGCCATCCCACTTCCCTCCAGGCCTGTTCTCCTCTAAGGATCCATTTCATGCTTTCTGGGTTTAACAGGTATTCTAAATTAAAACCATTAATCTGAGAATTCAAAGCTTGGAACCACATGTAAAACGGAAGGGACACAGAAACATTCAGTCCATACAAAGAACCAGGGACATCATTGGCAGTGTGGCAGATCCCTAATTACCAAGGCATCTGGAGCAAGCTTAAATTCAAGGGCATTTGAACCACACCCTCATCTCATTTGACCTAGGATAATCCTAACCACAAAGGATCTAGGACCACAGCATGGCATGAAGCAAGCCAAGGATCCATTTTAATGACCAAGCAACATGGCCATGCCTTAATACAAAGAATGTATAGGGTGCTCCAGAGCTTATCCTGACATCAGATGATACTTTTTGTCAAATAAATTGTATATTGCTTGAAAAAAATTTTGGATATCTAAGCTGTGAAGAACAAAGAAACTTTGGAGCATCAGAGGAAAACCATGGGAGAAGGAGTTAAAATGTGCTAGAAGAATAATGTCACACGTGAGAGAATCAGGAGCGAAACATCAGAGTAAAGACAGAGTTAGAATGAGAGATGGAGAAAGCAGGGAGGGTAACAAAGGGGCATCATGAAAGCACCGTGAGAGAATAAAGAAGGAATCCCTCAGAATAGCTCTGAGTGTACATTTCCTAAGCCCTCAGATAAAGAAGTTTCAGTTTGTGCTACACTGTGGACTTTCCTTCAGTGCTGTCAGCAGCCTGGAAGCTGGTTCATAAGACTGTTGCAGGCACCTTGCAGTGCACGCGCCATGCTTGCTGGTACAAGTGTCAGTCTCACACAGGATATGCACCATGAGTGCTGCTGCAGCTGTGTCAGCCTCCTGCAGTGCATGCAGTGGAAGTGCTGGGCTACTGGTTTGCATTTGGGGCAGTGCATTCACAGTGAGTGGTGGGATATAGACATGAACTTCTGACGTACCTGCCCCATGAGTGATAGGTTAGCTATGTGAGTCTCCATCCACACATAAACCATTAGTTCTTCAGTCTCGCTCAGTACATTCACATTATTGCTGGAGTTTAGGCATGATCCTCCCCCAGCACATGCACCATGAGTTCTGTGAGACTCATCTAAGTCTCCCACAGTACATTCACATTCAGTGCTGGTTTCCACCCATAAGCCCACAATAATTCATGAACAATGAATTCTTGGTAAGAGCTTCCA